CATCTTTAATTCCTTTCTTCTGTCCTCTTTCCCTCCCTGTCTTTTCGCAGTAGCAAGGGGAGTAGTAGTACCATGTAGTAGATAGAAGCAACTTAACTTGTTTCTTTCAGACAATATTCCTAAGACTCTTTTCTGCTATTAAGGAAAATACTCATTGGTATAGTTTATTTTATTCTGGAGAAATTTTACTTTTATTAGCATACCATTTTTAGAGAGAAATTATATATATATATATATATATTTTTTTTTTTTTTTGGCCGTGCCGTGCAGCATGCGGGATCTAGTTCCCCAACCTGGGATTGAACCCATGCCCCTGGCATTGGGAGTGCAGAGTCTTAACCACTGGACCGCCAGGGAGGTCCCCAGTGAGAAATAGTTTTGAGTGACTCATGTAATCAGTAAACATTGATAGATGGCTACAGTTGTCACTCAGATGTGTGGCATGTAACTAGACTACAGGTGTCATATACTAGGATCTCCATCATAAAAGAGATTCAGTGGAAAGAGGAAACTCCTCTTGATTCTATGGAGTCAGAAACCCTCCACGGGGTGTTTCACGCGGTTTGAGGTGTGTGAGCTGGGCCTTGAAAAATGGATATAGGTAGCAGGGGATACTTCAGAAGGGAAGGAGAACATACGTAAAGATAGGAAAGCATATGGTGTTTGTAGTGAATTTTGACTGTCCTTTTGTATCCAGAGAATGGAATATGCCACAAGGAATAGTGGGGGAGGCAGGGAGCAGAGGAAGGCCGCCATATTCCTGAACTCTTTACGGCAACATATTATTTTTCTGGATCATTTTGCTTGTATAACTCACTTATTGTAGACCTTCTATATATAAAAACTTAATCATATCAACTTGCTTCACTTTAAATGTCAGCATACGTTTGCCTGCCGTTTTTGATATTCTGGGGTTGTATAAGATGTAATTATGGGAACAGTTTTTGCTGCTATTACTTTCACCAAAGAAAGCCTCTATGTAAGGATATTTGGCACTATGACTTGAGCAGCATTTCCTGACGTTTAAATCAGCATAAAGTAGACGTCGATCTGCAAACCCCAACCTGCTGTTTAGGACCCTTCTATAGTATAGTTATAACAATAGACTAACAGAATCCAAAATACTGGTACTTGTTTCCCTGAGTAGGCAAGGTGGATTGGATCTTATGAATACAGACTCAGTGCTTCAACTCTTGCTATTACAATTTTTGCTCCACCGTTCGAGTTGTCAGGCCCAGCTTATTGTTTTTCACCTCCTATGAGGAAACAGTTGAGGCCAGGACAGCAGGCAGAATGGCCACAGCAGGATATAAGCTAGAGATGAACCCCAAGGGAGAAGTGCGTGTAGCGTAATCCCTGAGTTATAAGATACTTAATTGATTGAATAACTGCTTTGGAAAAAGGTAACAACACTACCATGTGAAATGCCCCATCCATTGTAAGAAGCAGCTCATTTTTCAAAATGCTACAAATGAAAACAAAATCTGTCTTAGAATCAAGGGAAAAGGCAAATTAGACCTGTAAACTAGAGGCGAGGTGGAGGTCAGAGTCTAGGTAAGGTATCAGGCCAAACTACAAGCCCCAGAAATTGGAAGTCAACAAACCAAGCCAAGGGTCCAGGCTGGATGGGAGAGATAGAGCAGGAATTGAGGGGTCTGGGCACAGATTGGGATCAGGACGTCCTTTAGGGATTGGCTTGAGCTCAGTATCCCCAGGGAGAGGAGTCATACAAGGCTGCTAGGAATGCAGTCCCTTGTCTAGTCTAGCAGGATGGTGAGCAGGCAGTACCACATGCTTTGTCTTTGTCTGGCTTGGTGTGAGTGCACCCTTTGGGGCTTCACCGAGTGGTCAGGTGAGGGCTCAGGCTGTCTCTACAGGTTGAGCGTGTGTTTGTAGCCTTCAGGGAATGAAGCCGTTGTCGTTCCGGACGTGCAGGCTCAGCGGCCATGGCTCGCCGGCCCAGCTGCTCCGCGGCATGCGGGATCTTCCCGGACCGGGGCACGAACCTGTGTCCCCTGCATCGGCAGACGGACTCTCAACCACTGCGCCACCAGGGAAGCCCCTTTTCTCCCTTGATAGTCCTATGCAGTATCGCTTTTCTTTGTTATTCCCGCACTACATCTCAGATGTTACTGAGAAGCAGTCATATCTTTTGGGGGCACCTGCGTTTTTATGCAGCCCAATCTAAAAATCATCCTATTTTTGTTAAACGTTGAAAAGAATCACGTTAATTCCATCTGTGATATATTTATACTTTGTTTTAAAAAAATTCAAGACCATATACATTTAAAAATGATATTATGAGCACAAAAATAATATTGTGCAGCGAAGGACTTGTGTCTTATTTATTTACTAGGTAAGTAGACTTAGCACGATGCCTGGTACTCAGTAGACGCTTAGTAAATTTTGGTTGAATTAAACAGGGTGTTTGTAGTGTTTAAAGCATTATGTTTAAACATAATTTGTGCGTGCTGTTTGGTCTAAGACCTGTTCAAGAACATATGGTTATAAATAATAAATTAGTATTTGTTTTAGCAGAACCGTTAGGACTTAACTAAGCCTAATATTTGAATGCCATAGTTGATATCTTGATATTACAATCCTCAAAATCTTTCTCTGATAACCTTCCAAATACATAAAATGTTCTTAACGTCTGTGGGCAAAGGATTTAGAATGGGTCATCTCAAGTTCAAAGTATGCGGCCACAGTGTATGCTCATCAGCCAGGTGAGGAGCAGACACAATACAAATGTATTAGAAAAGTATGTTTCATTTATTTTAATACTCTCAGGGACAAAAATTTTTGTGAAATCTTGTGAATGTGCAGAAATGTTTTTTAAAATGCTTACATTGCAGTAGCGTGCAAAGTAACTTCTTTCTGATTCAATTTCTTAAATTGCTACATGATGAAGCACCCTCTCGTAGATAACGCTCAGAAATCAGCACTTAATATGGCAGTAATGGTTATTGCTGTCATTCTTTACATCTTTAAGAATAATTAAGCATTACTGCACAGGCATTATGAAGTTCTCCTATCACCATTAAGAGGATATTTGAGGTTTGATGTAATTTAGCAAATTACATTATATAGTAGTTAAGGTTTTTATGTAGTGAAGTAAAATGCGTAGTAGTTAAGCACACTTACCGTATAATGCATTGTACAGAGTTACATGTTCCAGCTGCTGCCAGCTTTGTTCCAGTGTCATTATTGCTTTGCAGGCTGACGTTCCTCAGGGAGTGATTCGAGTGCAAGCTCCCCATCTTTCGAAAGTTTCCATGGCAATACAGCTAACTGAAGAACTCAGAGCCAGTGATGTACTTGCCAGGTTTCTCAGCCAAGAAAGGTAGAGGCCTGTTTTGTTTTAATTATTCCATGGTATAATTCACTTGCTCTCTCTTTCCCCCCCCCCTTTTTTTTTTTTTTTAAACTATGGCTGGTGTGAGGGCTTAAAAATGTTGTCTTCCCGGCAGAAAACAAAAGCAGACTTAACAATTAGACTGTTGGAATGAGTTGAGTTCATTGGGTGTAGTTTGTGTTCAAAAGTGGAGCCTGTTTCGAACAGGAGGTCTGCACACTCCTTCGCTGTGCCTGCTGTGGGCTTGGTACATGACGCCACTCAATATTCTCTCCAGAATATGGTGATTGGAGGTTAATTACTGTGTGTAGGCTGTTAGGAAAATCACTAATTAGGATACAGTGGGATTAAAAAAAACAAAAGGTACAACTTCTTCTAGGAAATATAATGAATACAAGGAAATGCTTAAATTTGAAAACAGAAGGTATAAAGACTTGAGAGGGGACAGCCGGTCTCTGGAGCTCTGAAGTCAGTAGGACAAAGCACAGTATCCTCAGTAGGAACGACCAAGCCTTCCTCTCTGTGTGCAGCTGGTGGGGCAGGCGTAGTCCTCTGAAGGTCTTTGGCATCCCTCCCATGTACACTTTCAAAGACATTTTGCGGTATTTTTTCTTGAATTTTAGGGGTTCGAACAGGGTATAGGCATTTCAGTGTTCAAATTCTTATTTTTAGCTAAAATTATATTTTAATGCTTCCTCCCCTCATTTCTACTCATTGAAATAAACAAATCTAATCTTTTTTTTTTTCTTTTAAAGACAGGGACATCAGGGGTGTTGGCCTCTTAGCTTCTGTCTACTCTGTCTCCCATTGAATTTCATCTCCTCAGTCTAACATTCAACATTTCTGCCAGAACTTCTCCAATTTTAATACAGAACCACATGTATGTAATACGTGTCTGCTCTGTCTACGGCTCTCTGCTAGATGTTGGAAGGGTTATAAAAAATACTTTAAACTGTCTTCCCTCAGGGTTTGTAAATTGGGAGAAGAGATGAGCCCGTGCAGTTAACAGATGGTGATGAAATAAAAGAGTGTCTTAGTGCTAATTCTGGGCTTTCAGTAAGCCAGCATAAACTTCCCTCTCAACCAAGCTCTGAAGGAAGTATTATCTTACTTCTGTTATACTGATAAGAAAACCAAGACTTTGCAAGGTCATGCGTTACATAGGTGGTGGAGTAGAGCTGAGTTCTAAATCTGTGGTTTCTGTCCCCCAAGGAGGTCCTTTAACCCCTCTCCATACTGGCTCGAGCGCCTAGAGGCTATCATGAATCTGGGGGCCATTGGTGCAGAGTCTGGGACTAGGTGGACTTTGGGGGGATTAAAGTCCTGGGCCAGTTGGAATTTTGGGGGATTAAGTTCTGGGAGCAGTTGGAATGTCTTGGATGTCTTTGCTCCCTAAAAGTTCTCTCCACTTCAGGGGAGTCAGTCCACTTCCTCTCTACTACCTGTGGTGACCAAGAAGATGCCATTCTTCCCACCGTGGATGACTTCCCACCCTCTCCCAAAGGGTGTACTTGAAGATCTGGCCAGACTTCAGATATAAGCAGCTCTTCCAGGCTAGACATGGTTTAATTTACACAGCGTTTACTTGCACGACCCAAGTGCTCAATTTAATCTGAACTTGTGTTCCTCTACTTGTAGATGATACAGGGTGTGACTCTGAAGTTGTATGATATATTCTACTCTGACTTCAATATTTAGGATAGAGTAGGATAATAGTAGGCATACTCTTATAAGAAAGCACCAGTTTTGTGACAGTTGTCATTTGCATATTTGGATTTTCTGCTTGTGGTGCTTTGCTACCCCCTTAAGTGGAATCCCTTCTTCTGCCTCCCCGCTTCTTGCCATCCTGCTTCACCCAGAGGGAAGTCTGGTAAGCATCTTGGTCCATTTGCCCTTTCCCCCCCCCGCCAGTCTTCAACCCTTTCCCTTATGCTTGGGGATGCCGGAAGCAGATGATCTGGATCCAAATACCAGCTTTTCCTGAATCATCTTAGGCTAGTTTTTATAATCTCTATAAGTCTCAGATTCCTCATTGTAGAAGTAGGCCTCATTAGAAGGCCTACATTATAGCCTTGTGATAATTAACTGGGAAAAAGACCATGAAGCACATAGCATTATCTGTCTGGGCCATCTAATAAGTGAAATTCTCAGTAAGTGTTTATATGTATCTTCTTTCACCACTTTCCCCTCCTCCCACTTGCATCGCACTTGTATAGTGACAGTGGGACACCTTACTTCCCTCCATCCTTTTCTTCCCCTTCTTTCTCTGCTGAAGCCAAGAACACATGAATGACATAAAATAAGTGCCCAGTGCGTTCACCAGTCTTTGATAACGACTGTTGTCTTTTCTGTATGGATTTGTTGATTAGTATTAAGTGAAAGCTCATGTGTACCAGGAAATCCAGTTCAGGTTTCTTTAAAGTGGAATAAGAACATAGATACTCAAGAAGCCAAATCTGAGAACAATATCTGACTAGGATTTTTTTTTAGTCTGCCAAAACATTCCACTTGGTTTTCATGAAATAATGACTCTTTTTATACTCATAGTTTATTGGGTTATGTATTATATTAAAAATGAAAATATAATTATTACATTATTTAATTTCAAAAATAAGCATACGCCAGTTTGAAAACGAAGTGAATCGTCTCTTGGTCAGGATACAGCTTAGCAGGGCAGATCTTAAGCATGAGGACTCCCATAGCCCTGAGCAGTCAGTGTGTCATGGACAGCAGAGTAGATGGAGCTGGATAACCAGATGAACCATTAAGTGGTTGGTTAGGAAGGCCTCTACGTACTCTTTTTTTCTAACGGTTTGGATAAAAGTCAGACCTGGTTTTCTCTTCTCAGTTCCAGGGAGTGTGTCCTCAGGGTCTTTTGTCAGTGGTTCACAAATCTTTCTGAGCATCAGAGTCCCACCAGAGAGCGTTTAAAAACCACATTCTCGGGCTTCATGTAGACATATTAAATCAGAGTTTCTAGAGCCCTGGATCTGATTTTTAGCAGGTTTCCCAGATATAGAGATTTTTGAAAACCATTGAATTTTACCCATTTTTATTGTTTGAACCTAATGTTCTGGAGAGTTTATTCTTTGAAGAGTATAAACCTGTACGTGCATCCTACTTGTAAGTCTTCATAATGAGTATTTGCTTCTGTTTTGTGTGTATGTACCTCCCGTATTTGGACGGTCAGCACAGGGAGGTTTATGAACCATGTCCTAGTCTTTATATTCATCTTGCAGACTATTAGAGTGGTCAGCACAGCAAACCCGTGATAAATACCTATTGAATAAATACAATGTGAAGACTAAGGTGGAAACGTTACTTCTTAGAGTTTTATGAGGACCTTTTTGGCCCCTATGCAAAATAGATGACCATATTAATAATTTTATTGGCAGCTAAAATGTTGTTACTTTTCTTTTTAACTTTACAAATTTAGATACTGATTTATTATTTCACCTTCAGATGTACAATTCCATTTGTTTATTTTAATTTACAGGCGTGACATTTTTATTACCTATTCAGCACATTTAACAGGTGGGAAAGTACAAACGTGTAGATAATTACAGTATGTCTAAGTTATGAATTTTCCATACAAGCTAGAATTCCCCAAGGACATTAAAGTGATTTACTTGCAAGCTGTCTGATGATGCAACTAATCAGTTTGTTTTATCCCTAGTAGTGGGGTTGCCCAGACTCTCAAGAATGGGGAAGTTTTTTTGTATGAAATTGGAGGAAATATTGGTAAGCGCTTTTTTGTTGTTGCTATTTATTTATTTATTTATTATTTTATTATTTTCGGCTGCATTGGGTCTTCGTTGCTATGCACGGGCTTTCTCTAGTTGCAGCGAGCAGGGGCTACTCTTCGTTGCGGTGCGCCGGCTTCTCTTGTTGTGGAGCATGCGCTCTAGGTGCCTGGGCTTCGGTAGTTGCAGCATGTGGGCTCAGTAGTTGCCGCACGCAGGCCCTAAAGCTCATGGGCTTCAGTAGCTGTGGTGCATGGGCTTAGTTGCTCCGCGGCGTGTGGGATCTTTCTGGACCAGGGATTGAACCTGTGTCCCCTGCACTGGCAGGTGGATTCTTAACCACTGCACCACCAGGGAAGTCCCTGTAAGCACATTTTTTAAATCTTGCATTCCATATGCTGATTTGACACTGCCAGTGGTTATTATTTATGTCTTTGGGAGAGAAAAAGAAATGAGAAGTAAAATATAGCAAGCTGTAGATAGTTGATGAATATTGTGGATTTTTTTTTTTAGTGGTCTCACCTTTCTGTTCTGGCTCTTTAGAGCTTTGTACAAATGCCCATCTATGTGGAACCTGAGCCAAAGGCAGGTTCCCTGAAATAGGAATAACTTCTAAAATGGTTAATGCAGTTTTTCAAAACTTTTTTCTTTTTTATACACTGATGGCACATCTTAATAAAGGAAGTAATTGAGCTCATTTAAGACCAAGATGACACTTTTATTATGGTACAGTACTAGATATATTTAGCGAAAGCAGAAGTTATTTTTGCCATTGTTGATTGCCTACTAAAAATATACATATGCATACATAAACATATTGTTAGCTTATGAAATAGAAATAAGATAAATGGATTAGTTTTGACCATGTCTCATATTTTATTTTCCCACGTGTAATTATCAGTGGGTTGTACTCATCTTCTTATTAAAATTCAAAATAAACATTTTCTCTTATTTTGACCTTTAAAAAGGTAAGAGTGACATTATCAACAAATAAATGAAATGGTGTTTAATTCAAAAGAGTAATTGAAAATATTTTAAGATAAGTTTTTAGAATTTTTTTCTGGGACTTAAAAATTTTAGTAAATATTGAAAGTTGAATACAAGAAGGTGAAGACTCCTAAAAATTTAAATAAACCACAACTCCGCTGGAACTCTGTATTGTTACCTGTATTAATCAAGATTATTAGAAAAAAAAGGTTAAGTATTAGTATATTTGATTTTGCATTTTGCCATTAGATATTGGGAATTAAGCATGGTTTCTTACTTAGGTCAATTCAAAACTGTTGCCACTCTTAATAAAGGTGAATAAGCTTTTAAGGAACCATTTAAAAGCCCATCACAGAATTTTCAACTTCCTAAATTAATTTGAAACCTGCACATTTAGAGAACTACTCAATCGACTTTTCCAATATTTGGCCAAGCCTTATAATATTATGGGAGACGGGAAAAAATGAGAACTATTTCGAAGCGTAAGACTTGAGTTAAACCACTAGGCTTAAAGTTAAAATGGCATCCCTATCTCCCCACTGTATTAAACTGATGCAACATCTCTCTACTAGGGGAACGCTGCCTCGATGACGACACTTACATGAAGGATTTATATCAGCTCAACCCCAATGCTGAATGGGTTATAAAGTCAAAGCCATCATAGAAGTCTTAACGCTGCAAATAACCGCAAGGACTCCTTTAGTCATATTTGCTGGGTCAAGAGTGTAAATAAAAGAAACAGTGGGACACTTTTATTATTCAAATGTACCTGACTCTTGAATAGTGGTGACACACTCAAGCTTTAAAAAGTTATAGATTTGTGCTGCTGCCAGATTATGTTAATTATTATTATTCATATTATTATTAGAAAACATCTCTGGAGTGAGAAGAAAGGGGCTTATGTAGCTTGGAGGCTATTTTCATACACTCTGTGGAATGTGTCCAGAAGTGACATCATCTTTTTTAAATGTGAAAGTATGCTCTCTTCCCTCTCTTTTTTTCTCCTAAAATAATACATACAGTAATATATGCTTTTTCACCTTTCTCTCCTCCTGACATCTGCCCTCCCCCAAATGGTTTTACTTTTCAACCAAAAAGGTAACAAATACCAGGTATGGCAAGTTGTAAAGGCAGTACCTCTTAAACCAGACTGAATTCAACAGTATTCCTGTCTCTATTGAAAGTTAATATTTATCTCTTTGAATCATTTGTTCAAACAATAGCATCCCACTTCTTCCTGCTGTATCACATGAAGTGATTTGCATTTTTTTTCCAGTTTATCTGACATATGTGCACAGAACTGTATCCACTATCAAGAAAATAGAACTGTCAGAAACTGCCAATTATTACTGCACCATTTAAGACTTACATACTCAGAATAAATAAATATCCACGTGGAATAACTGGATTATGGATAACAAGAGAGTGAAAGCCAGATCACTTCACGTATGCTGTAGTCTTCTAAATGAAACTTAAAAAGTCATAGCTGGCTTTACCTGTTGTCATATTAACAGTACAAATATGCATGATTGTATGATCCAGTAATTGTTGAGAATGTATTCTGCTGAAAGAGGATTTTTTTTTTTTTTTTTTTTTTTTTTACTCATAAATAAGTCAACAGTAAGAGTTATTCTTCTGGGTATGACACAGTCTTATGAACAAGCTTTTGTTTGTGTCCTTATTTTAAATAATCAGAGCAAATTTATTAAAATGCGGTGGAAAGGACTATTCCCAGGGATTTTAATGCACAAACCATATTGTGAAAAGAGATGAGCCTCTGTACTGTAAATAAGAGGAATGAAGTGAGAGAGAAATGTTCAGTATTTTTTGAGTTTAGAGTGTAGTAAATAAAAGGTGATGTAAATAAATATTGCACAACTGTGTTTATGATACTTTTATTAGGACTTTAGGAAAAATTGCACATTCTCAGAAGCTCTTGATGTCACTCTAATTAGGAGGGAAAAATGCTGCTAATGAGAACAGTCGCAAATTTTAATTATAAGAGCAGCCTGTGGATATGATCACTTAAATATCTTTGTGGTGATTTGTGCCATTGCTTTTTATTTAAAAAATTTTTATAATTAAATGCATTTTTCTAAATTATCTTCTCTTGGAATTATTACTTTTAACCCTATCCGTTCATGAGTATAATAATGGACCATTTTTGTTTTCGTTGAAAGCCATTTCTACTTTTACTGTTCCTATTTATTGTTCCTGTGTAATTTTTAAAGTGGGAAGACACGTGGGAGATTTAAACTTGTTTCCTTTCTTTTTTTTTTCCTTATGCAAATTTCTGTTCTTTAGGATTTTTCAAAACACACTGTATTCTATTTCTGATTTTGACAGTATATATTAATTTCTCAGTAAAATGTTTTATTAATATTTTCATTTAATGAAGACAGTTAACAATATAAAAGCAAAATCAAGTGCTTTAAGTATTTTAGGGGTGCCCAACTTAAATAAAAGACGAGGGTGAATATGATTTAGATAAATGGCTGTCTAAAGCATGTGTCAACTAATTGTCACCACATTTACTACTCACGGCAGGGAGTGGGGAGACACAAGAGGCTTTTGATAATGAAAAAGTAGCAGATCTTGGTAAATAAACATGAAAACACCACTTTATTTGAGTCCTTCTTAGAACTCATGACCTGCGTTCATTGACACTGAACAGTAAGTACTGCATTTAAATAACCAAGAAAAATGTCTATCTACCCTTATAAAAGAGGAGAAACTTACAGTGTATAGTCCTAAATATAAATGCCCTTGCATTTTCCCAAATGCCTTTTCTGTAATTTTTTTTCTAGTGAAGTTTAAATCTCTGGGTAGATTAGTTTTTATTCGTTTGTATGTAGGGGAAAATAAAAACAACAAATATATTTGCTTTGCCTCTCAAATATCCTAATTCTTAAGTTGCTGGTGAAAAACAGAAAGCTGGTATTTATAGAAAACTGGTTGCCCTGTTAATATTTTGGAAGTGCTTCCTCTTTTCTGAAGGGGGTTATTATGAGTCTTTACAGTTGCACAATATTTGCTTACTGCTGCTATAGAATTCAGTGTAAACTCCTTGCTAGCACTCTTTGGGAAAAGCAGTTTATTTTCCTGACTTTATGGGATTTTTCATTACTATGTTTTCCTACTTTTCAGATTAGACTGGTTTGTACTTTCTTCCTCACTGTCCTGATTTCTCACCTATTGATCAGTAGGTGGCACTATTGGTCAGGAATTCCTTCGCAGCTAAACTTGGAAGTTTTGAAAGAGAACCTGAGTTCAGAGTATGCGGTTAAGACTCAGTGCCAGGCATCTGCAAGACAATTAGGTAAGAACAGCATGGATCTCTCTCAGATCACTGATTGTGAAAATTGTAAATAATAATTCCAAGGTTTCTTTGTTCAGTCTGTTAGTCTGCTTTTATCCTTAACTTGTTGAGTGGAGAGGGAGGGTGGGACGAGGGTGTTCTGAGTCACAAACGTTTTTTTAAATTAATTAATTAATTTTTGGCTACATTGGGTCTTCGTTGCTGCACGGGCTTTCTCTAGTTGCAGCGAACGGAGGTTACTTTTCGTTGCACGGGCTTCTCATTGCAGTGGCTTCTCTTGTTGCGGATCACCGGCTCTAGGCACACGGGCTTCAGTAGTTGTGGAGCGTGGGCTCAGTAGTTGTGGTGCACGGGCCTAGTTGCTCTGAGGCATGTGGGAACTTCCCGGACCAGGGCTCAAACCCGTGTCCCCTACATTGGCGGGCAGATTCTTAACCACTGCACCACCAGGGAAGTCCCACACAATTCAATGTTTTGGCAATGTCTATTTCAAGCAGAAGGATCATGATAAGAGGAAGACAGTGAACCAGGAAATTAAAAAGAGAGATGTCTAAGAGGACATAATAACCTCTGTCTTTAGTGTATATGTGCTTGTTTCTTCATTCAACAAATATTTATTGGGTACCTACATGTATGTGCCAGGCAGGCTCTACCCTTGAGGTACATCAGTGAGGAAAAGAGCTCTGCTCTTACATTCCAGTGGAGGGAGACAAATAATAAAATGAATTAATAAGTACAGTCAGCCCTCCATATCCAGAGGTTTCAAGGATCAAAAATATTTGGATGTTTTCATGAATCCTCTAGATGTTTGAGTCAGGAGAAGGCAGGGAGGCAACTACGAGAAATCTGCCTTTTATTCAGCATCTGAGGACTGCAGCTGCAGAGGGAAATTACTCAGTAAGGCAGAGGGGGCGTGTCCTGGCTTAGTAATAAAACAGTTTAGTAGTAAAGGCTCAGATATTCCATACATAAAATACTCCAAGCAAGGTTAATGGGCAAGTGTAGACTCATTCAGCAGTGGACTGTGACTCAGAGCTACAGGATGAAGATTTGATCCAAATGAGAACAGAGTCAGTTATTACAGGTATGAAAGCCTCAAGAAATTATCTTTTTGCAAAAGAAATAGTAAATGATTTAACAGTCCCCATATATGTTAATGTTGCAAATGTATTTGTATCATAATATGTAACATAATTGTGTAACAAAAATATCTACAATAAATCTTTCAGTATTAAACAAATATGTATTTGGAAAAAAGAAGAATCCAGAAGTTCCAAAAAACAAAATAAATTTGCACACTCTGGCAACTATTTACATAGCATTTTTATTGTAGTAGGCATTTTAAGTAATCTGGAGATGATTCAAAGTATATGGGAGGATGTGCATAGGTTATATGCAAATACTGCACCATTTTATATAAGGTACTTGAGCATCCATGGGTTTTGGTATCTGCCAGGGTCCTGGAACCAATCCCCCACTGATACAAAGGGATGACTGTAAATAAAATTATATGGTATGTTGAAAGGATGGAAATAGAGTAGAGACAGAAAAAGGATGAGCAGGGAATGTGACAAATAATGGAGGGATAGGCTCATTCCAGTAGTAAACAGGGGGTCTCACTGAACATCTAAAAACTGAGCAAAGACTTGAAGGAGGTAAGGAACTTGCCACATGGATTTCTGGAAGAAAGCATTCCAGACAGGGTATAACCAGAACAAGGACCCAAAGGCAGAAGCGTGCCTGGCTCACCAAAGATTAGCAAGGATGCCATCATGGCCGGAGTGGAGTGAGAGCCTGTGAAAGTAATGGATGAGGTCAGAGAGGGAACACCAGGGTGAGCGTGGGCGTGAGACCATGGAGGGCCTTGTATCAGGGTGACCATAATTTATTCAAATTAAAACATTTTTGAGAGTGAAACAGGGCACTGTTGGTGAGGGCAGTAGCTGTGGAGTGTTGAGAAGTGATCAGATTCTGCATACATATATATATAT